AATGAGATCTCAAAGCCTCCGCGGACACACGTGCACCCGACACTGAATCAGGCCGCCCATCCGTCTTTCCTCGGGAGGGGGGCGTCGGCAACATTCATGTTCGCGCATCGAATCATCGGGTTATCCTGTCAGGGCGCGCGCTGCCTAAAGACGGGCCGCGTCGTCGCGCATGCCGTTCGCGGGCCGCCCGAAATCATTCAAAGGCTGGGCGGTCGATTTGCACTTGGCAAGAGCGCGACATTTGGTCGCCTCGGCCAACATCGTAGATCGACAAATTCGAGCGAAATTCCAAGACCACGAGTCTGCGCGACCATGCAATGGTTCCGTGCGCGCCGAAAATCAAGTCTCGCTGCGAAGACAAAGGTTGTTGTTTCCGTTGCGGCGGCCCTGGTGAAATGCCCCGCTATACAGGTTGCCCCGCGGTCAAGTCTTGAGGCCCCCCCCCGATTCAGGGCGTTCCGAACCTGCAAGGACAATGGGGGGCCCTTCCCGAAGATGATGCACCGAGGACCTCTACCTCTGTGGACCTCCTGGGCCCGACGCGGGGGCTGGCAATGTTGCCGCAGGCGTTGTGATGGATGGGTTTCTAAAGGCCCATGTCCACCGACGACTCGGCGCCGCTCTACCTCCGCCGCGCGTTATTCACGCGCGCGTGATGCTTCCGGCTAGGCACTGCAAGAAGATTGCTGCGATCTTCCGCGATCGCTGTCGAACCTCGATTCACCGCCATTAGGTGCTGTGCGGTCGGGGATCCCATGGTATTTGGTACATATCTCGAATTCGGCTTGTTTCCTCGATTTTCTGGCACCCTCTGGCCTGCCGCGGTCGCCTTAGGCCCCACCTCGCACCTCTCCGGTGGATCGACAAATCCGAGCGAGATTCCAAGACCACGAATCTGCGCGAGCATGCAGTGGTTCAGCGCGCGCCGAGGGTCAGCCGCGAAGATCTGCGCCGCCTCCCCATGCGGCTCAGCAACCGCGGGGGCGGCCCGGACATTTCGAAGCCGATGCTGGAGCTCGGATCAGCCCCCCGAATGGAATGGGCCGACTGCCGCTGGAAGCCCATGGGAAAGATGCCGAAGCAACCGAACTCGCTACCGAAACTGAATCATGACCTCGCGGCGCGCAACAGCGCGCGCTGCGGGCCGCGCCCAGAGCCCGTGATGCAGCGCATCCGCCACTTACTTTAATGGCGCAGGTACAACCCCCCATTCCCTCCTCATGCGATCAGATAAGTGCTCGCAGGAAAGCGCCCAGCAGATCAGCACCTAGCATTTGCCCATGTTCAAAAAGCACTGCAGATGACAAGAGGTCCAGCAAGAGCAGAGTAGGCACCAAATCAACTATGTTTGTCTGCAGCCTAGACTTACAATCATCAACGTAAGCACGCCCCAGATCAAGCCGCGCGGGGGGCGCCGATTCTCAATCCGTCTGAGAAGAGGGGCTGACTCGAGAGCGAATCGGGTCATCGATGGCGGATCGCTCTGTCTCGCGCCGCGCGCAACTGGGCATCGAATACAAACCGCCCCCGCAAAAGTTGATCGCAGCCACGTTGGTCATATAGAGTGCGCCATAGAAGCCGACGGCTGACTGAGGGGCGCCCGCGGCCGCGAGGGCCCACGATACCCGCGCCAAGAAAGTCGACGGGGAAACTGCCCGACAGCCCGAGAAACACGCTGGCCGGATCGCGTTCCCGCGCGCGCTACAAGAGCCTCACGTTTCCCAGCGCGACCACGTTATCCAAGCAATCGCGGCCCATTGCACCCCCACTCCGCAGCAGCGCCGCCGCCGATGGAGGCCTCTCCATCTAATCCAATGCAAGACGCGCGCGAGATGGCCCCAGCGTCTGCGTCGGAGAGCGAAGGGAGGCGGGTAGAAGCAGGCGCTGTAGAGACAAATGCCCCCGCGCGAGCGGGATCTCCACCTGCGGGCGGCAGGGGCGCCTTTCTCAACTGGCCCGAAGGCCCACGGGAAGAGCAGCGCCTGCATTATTGCACACAGCTTCGTAGACCTCAAAAATACCTCAGTAGCTTCAGGAAACGACCAACAAACCCTACTCGCGCCATCGGGGCCAGGGGCGGGGCGACGCCCGAAACCGATCCGCCATTCAAACTCACCCTGGCCAAGGCGCCGCGTGGGCGCGGGGGGGAGCTGGCCAACTGTTCGAACGTAGGACAGGATCGCTGGCCAACGCTTTTCGCCGCGAGGTGGTTGGGCGAAAACCTGCCCCCAATCAAAGGCCAACGCTCGAGACTCAGTCGCCGCCAAGACGAAGAAAACTGCCGCCCTCCGCGCTCGCTCCGTGAGATTCTGGGATGCGTAAACTCTTTCAACTGCCGAGAGACCACCGGTCTGTGCGCTGCGTGCTGGCTAATTCATTTCGGAATTGAAAGAGATCCACCCGGCTTGGGACATGCAACCGCGACGGCATCTGGGATGTGGTCAGACGAGGCGCCCTTGTAGGTCAAAGTCCCTACACCACATGCAGTGACAACCATCTCCTCAACAATCCCGCAGGGAGGGCGGTGTTAGACCCTGTCTAGCCGAGAGATCTCCCGAATCTCGCCACCGACAATGCATCTGCGCGCGGGGTCACTCTGATATATCTCACATCCGGAATTGCAACGGTCATGAAAAGCGTCGCGTCGCGAGCGATCCCCAAGACCGAACTCACCCTGGCCTGATAACCTCCCGTCCTCCATGAGAACGGAGTTCCAATCACCAGCTGCGAATACCATACTGGGGGAGGCACGGGGTAACTTGTCCAGGATAAACTTCAGATGCTGCTCGTACACGCCGACGTGGCCACGCGCGTTGGGCGCGCGAGCATTCACGGTGGTCCCCAACGGGCCCTGGACACTCCAGCAAAAGAACCCCCCTTCCACCACTTCGACGGGATCGGTTCGACATCGAGTGACTTGAACATCCGAAGGAAAAACGTCAAATCCACGAACAATCATATCATCCATAAAACTGCCGTTGAATCGGCCCAGGAACCACGCGGTTTCTGGAAGCGTGCAGTCTGATACTGACCGAGCAATATTTTAACCTGCTGACGCCGCGAACTTGCCCTGAGAGACGGGGGCGTGACGAAAAGCAAACAGAGCGCGAACGTTCCAAGTGCAGAGCGCGAGCGGAGTGGGCGGACGGCAGACCCCACCAGCAAACCCAGTTGGAGGAGGAGGAAGCTGTGACGCTTCGTCAATTAGATGACAAACGAAGCTGCTCGCAGGAGGTGGGGTCGCAGTCGAACTCTCACTCCGAAGAATCAAAACTACTCCCGCCCAAACACCCCCAATCGTCGCAACAGTCACACTCGCCAGAAATGGCAAATCTCCGCGAGACGGGCCTGCAGGCAGGGCACGCGTGCTTCTCCCTCAACCTCAGCTACGCCTACAGCATCCACCACCGTGTGCGCGTTGCCAACAAATGGGCCTTTTATATATTATAAAAACCTTCACAACTGGGAATGGGATGGTAACTTCGGTCACAGAAATCACACGCCCGAGCACCTCAGGCGCTCAACTACTATTACCCCCTATTGTTGACCTCGACGGATCTTAATTTGTCCTCCGGCACAGCGCTGTTCTCAATACCCAGTCTGTTTTTTCTAAGGGCGGCTATCCCACGAAGAGAAACAAAACAGGGAGGCGAAGGTAGTATGCTGGGTCCTGGGTGATCAGAGGATTAGGTACGTGGGCAATAATGAACTTGAGCCAACATGGTTACGGAGAGCTGCCAACTCGATTCGTAGTGGTCAAGCTCAAGCATGGGAGCGGGAGAGGCCTCCTCTCCAACATAATGGCATAATGGGCCGAAGGTGCCCATTCTCATAATCTCAGGGAGCCTCAAGAAGACCTCAAAGTCCGCCCGAAGAGTGTCAACAAAGCGCCAAGAGGTGTCAAGAGGTGTCCGACAGGGCTTTCCGATGATCTCAAGAGGGCTCCCAGAAACCTTCCGTGATCAGGGCAATTCGCCTGGCGATCGTTTCTGGATGGGCTGGTAGGGATTTTTTGTCGGCAGCCGCGGGCGAGAGCGCAACAGCGGCGTGACAGAGTCCAGGCGGGCCGCGCGAGGCACTAATTAGCGAGCAGAAGCACGCCTAGCACCAGCACTCAGAACGGGACCAGGAAATCGCCGGAGTGGAGGCGGGGCAAGCTGGTAGGGATACGCGAACCGTCAAAAAAATACGAAATATCGGGAGCCTGTAGCGGGAACCTCACAGACTGAATCTCCAGGGGTCGCGGTAACGATGCGGCCAGAGTGCCCGCGAGGAAACCCACGCACATACTCTTGCCTTCGACGCCTTTCAAAACAGAAACGCGAGTAACCGCTACGGGGGGAAGGGGCGCGAGCCAAAAGGTGCTCCTCCTCTGCGGTGGCATCGGCACCTGCGCCTCGCCTGCCAGGGAAGGCCTGGGCAGAGGGTGGCGAGGGATGGCTGGGGAGGGCGAGCTGCCTCCTCCTCCTCCTGCTCCTCCTCCTCCTCCTCCTCATTTGCGCCCCTCCTCCGCCACCGCCTCGAGGAAGGGGAGCAGGATGAGGGAGGGAGGTGGGAGGAGGACGAGGAAGAGGAGGTCCCTCTCCCCAGACACCTGACGTTTTGGTAGTGTTCCAATACGCGGCCCCATAACCCCTTCGACCCCCTTTCGAGCTTTTTGTTGGGACGGCACCGGGGCCCAAAACGGGCTCCCGAGGCCGACAGTGAGACAAGACATCGGTATGGAAGCATCCCAGGGTCGGAGGTCTGGGCACTGGGCCACCCTCGAATGGACTGCGCTTCTCTGGACCATGGCGTCGCAAAGGGGTGCGACAAACGCCGCTCTGGGCGGCTCTCGGACCTAGAAACTAGGGCGCACGCGTGCGCTGATGCCCCCCCCCCCATTCTCCGTGCGCTCGCCAGCCAATGATCTGTGACGCTCGCTTCCTGCCTGCTCTGCGGACCTGGCGAACTCCCCCAACCCCGCTGCCCGCCCGCCCGCCCGCCCCCCCCCCGGGCGCCCTTGGACTGCATGTCGCGCCAGCGGTGGCAGTGGTCCTGGGGGCCGAGGGGCGACCCCACACCGGCGGGGGGGCATGCCGCCGCCGCGAGTCGGCAGCACGGGGGGTCCGTAGCGAACGGATCGGAATTCTCGTGCGGGCAGTCGCCCAGGCCCCCTGAGGGCGGAGCGGGCGAGGCCGCGGCCTCGCAAAAACAGCCTGGTCCCAAACAGCCGCCCAATCGGGACTCAAGAGTCGCGTGGGTGCCAGACGACGTGTGGAGACAGGGAGGGGACTGATGCGCAGGGATGGATCGAAAACTCATGATCGAGGACCCAGGATTTGAGACAAGACTTATGCCCTAGCTTGGCCTCCAGCGGCCTCAGGAGGCCGCCGTTGCCGCGATCCGAGCACAAGGAGCTTCACGGCCCGCCCCAAAAGCCATCCCAACTACCGCAACTACGTTCTTACTGCGTTCAGTTCTGATAGTTAGCTTGAACGGGGAAACCAGATGTCCCCCTGGCGGCTCCCCCCTCGGGGCGGTCAGGAGGCACTGACAGGAGAGGAGTCCGAGGCGCAACACGCGCGCCTCGCTCGAGACATCCCCGCAGTCATGGGCGCGAGCGGGCCGGCGACGATGGCGTCGGCGGCGACAGCGACGGCGACCATCGACGGCGAGAGGGCGAGTGCGAAATCCTCGTCGACAGTGGTCGATTATCTAGGAATAAAAAACGGAAGTTCATGATGTTGAGATGATGAACCTCAATTCATAATATTATGGCGGAGTTGTCGGTCCCCCCCAACTGCATTACCTTTCCAGAATGAAAATCCACGTTCACTATTCAAGAATAATAAACCGTAGCTGATGCTCTCCCTGTGAGGCGCCTGGGCTGGGAGGGAAATAGGGGGAAGACAAAAAAATAGTAAAACAAATCGACCCCACCGGCTCGATTACTATCATTCCGGAATAACGAACCCCAATTTATGATGTCCCAGTAAGAAATGGTAAACCAAGTCGACCACCACCCCGGCTCGATTAATTATTATCACTCCGGAATAATAAACCCAAGTTTATAATAACCCAAGAATAATAAACCAGGGTCAATGTTCGAACCCGAAAATTCTCACCCTGGTGACGGGTGGTGAAGGGGCAAATACTAATTAGTCTCATTCCATCATAATAAACCGAATTCATTGTCTTGGAGTCCCGGAGCTGGGGCCCCGAAATCGTTGTAAAGCGGAAGTCGTAATGTTCCAAGGGAACATTATGAACCTCAGTTAATACCCCCGGAAGATTATAAACCCAAGTTTACAATGTTCCGGGGGGGACATTGTGAACCCCAGTGGAACATCATAAACCCAGGTTAATATCTGTTTTGGGGTCCATCCTGGACGGCGAGGTCGACGTCGGCGACGACGATAGCGACGGCGACCGACGACGGCGAGGTCGACGCCGACGAAGCCGCCAACGGCGGCGACGGCGCGCCCGTGGTCCTCGCACCACCTGAGGCAGTGCCGCAGCTGCGCCAGCGTCATGGCCCTCTCCTGCCGAGGCCGCCCCGCGGGGCCCGACGCCAGCCCGGCACCGGCGTGCGCCGGGCGCGTGCGCGGAGTGAGGGGCAACGCTCATAGGGTTGGCGGCGCGCACCAAGGGGGGTGGAGGGAGGGGGAGGGCTTCTAGGCTGCTTCGTAGAAGGCGCCGGCCTTACATCTACAGATAAAGCCCGCGCCTTCTAAGAAGCCCTCTCCCCTCCCCCCACCCCCCTCTGCGCGTGGCTGATGGGGGGGGGGGGGGCAAGCAGCAAGCTGGGATCGGCGACGCGAATGCGCACGTTCCTGGGCGGGGAGGGCTATCGGGCCGCTATCGGCGATCAGTGGGCGCCCTGGGGTCGACGCATCCCCCCGTGAGCCCATCCCCCCTGACGTTGCCTCTGAGCTGCTCCCGCATCGAGATTCGGGAGAACGGGGCTGGGGGCCCGCCGATTGCTGAATCGCTTTCGGCCCTTTCGGGCCTCGGCCCCGGGGTCTCATGGGGACTCCCCCCCGCTCCCGGGGGGCCCTCCGAGGGCCCCCGGCACCGAAATTTGCGTCTCGCGCCCCAGGGGCGTGCGGCCATCTTCGCACCCTGCCACCCGCCGGCCTGAAGAGAGAACTGCACCTCTGCGGCCCAGGCCGCGAGGAGCGAAGTGCGATCACCTTCGCGCCACTGCCAGTGACCTAGTGCCTGTCCTTCATCGCCCAGATCCTTCCCCCCCGCTGAGAACCAGAGAAAATCAGCGCCACCACCATCGCGAGGAGCCAAGGAGAGTCGCCATTCCTCCTTGTGGTGTGGCCTTCCCGTTTTGTGGCGTCCTGCTCAAGAAATTTCCAATCTCCCGATCGGACAGGCGGCGTGGACATCCTCGCTGGCGGTGGCCCGCTGGTGTTCTCGCTTCTGCTCCCTCCAACGGCTCCTTCTGCTACTCCCCACGTGGCCCTGTTCCTCACCCCTCTCGTCCTCCTGATCTCCTCGTGCCCCTCCTTCCGCTTCCTCACTGCTGACGTTGCTGCTGCTCGAAAGGCGAGCCAACCGAGGCCAGGCAGCTGGTAGCTTCCAGACGCCCCACGGCGGCCCCGAGGCACGGAATGGGCCCTCAAACAGACTCTCAAAAGGCTCCCAGAAGGTAGGCAGGAGCCCGAGCAGCGACAGTGCAGCTCAAGACCTTTGCCAAGCAACCTCATTCGTCTCGGGGGTCTCTTTCGACGAATCACCTTCACCATGGACACCAACGCGGCTGCGCGTCCCTGGTGAACGAGGCGGCTATCCTAGATGCTCGTGGCAAGAGATAGGCGCCGCCACGTGTGCGAACTGGCTAGCGAGGTGGCCTGGCAGCAGACGACATAATCGATGGCACCACCACGCAACTGCTGGGCAACATCCACAGGATGTTCACCGTGTCGACAAGGGACTTGCCAGACGGGGCTTCCCGGACGAGTGTGTTGTGATGGGCGTGGAGGTTCCCTACGCGGATGCTGACTGGCGCAATGTGCAGGCTTATCACGAGGTAGAGAGGGAGGGGCCTCCTCTTCACTGGCGATGGATCTTCGCCCCCAAAGGGAAAGCTCGAAGATCTTCGCAGAAACGTGGCAGACTTTGGCGACGCCCACGCTTCCTATGTTTCCTGGGAAAGTAAACCTTGGTATCGACTGCTGGCCAACGTTCAGAACAACAAGCGACACCCACGGCGTTTGCATACGACTCTTGTTACGAGGCACGTCATGAGGGCACTTGGGCGCGGGCTCTCCTATTCGCAACATGGCGCGATCGTGTATCGATGAGGACAACCTCATCATCGCACTCAATCGATATTCCCACCTGTGCGAATGAGTGCTCTGTTCATGACGTCGTAACCGCGACAACACACCACGCCACGCCACGCCAACCCATGGCACGCCAGGAAGACACTGTGGTAAGCTCACCCCCAACCCGATTCCATTCAGTGATGCCCCGCCCCCAGGGGGTAAGGATCACAACTCACCCAACTTCGGCTGGTCTGACTCCTGTCGATCCTGCCCTTCGCCCTCCCCTCCCCTTTCGCGCTGGTGCCGCCTCCGCGCAAACCCCACGGATGGGACGCGGCTCTTGGGCTGGCGGGGTGGAAAGGGAAGATGTGGAGCAGCGGACCAAATCCCAGAGATGGAAGTAAGGGCGCTGCTGTCGCCTCTGGTTCGCCATCCACCCCTGTGGCCTACCTCTCGCTGCCCGGCCTTGTAGAGCAAGTAAGATACACAAGAGGCGGTGAGCAGTCCTGGAGGTCTGGGAACCTCCCTGGAGGGATAGCCCACGCTGCACAAACAACAAAATATCGCAACGGACCACCCCCCATAAATGACTCGCACAGGCCCCGGCTATTCACCCCCGCTGTGCTCACCATGCCCTGCACCAATCCTCCGACGCCGCATTGTTGTTCGTGACGTGGGCCCCAAACATCTCGACGCATTCGCCCCAGGGCAAAATTGTTTTCGACAGAGGAAGCCCGAAGCCGGCCGACAATCCTCGAAACGCCGACTGCTTGCCCGAAGCCGCCGGGCAAAGCCCCCCAAATGGAGATAAAACTGCCGCTCCGATTCTCCGGACCGCCAAATGTCTCTGTCTGCCCGGCCTCTACGGCCCAGACCGGGTGAGTGCACAGTCCTCCGCGCGGTCCACGTAGCCCTGGAAACTGAAGCCCTCGCAGGGGCCCAGGCACGGGGGCGCGACCCGCCCAGGAAGAGGCCCGTTCCACTGCTGCGCCCTGCCGCCGCCCTGGGGGGAGGACGAGGACTGCGGAGCGCCTACGTGCCAGAGGGAAGAGGGACCAGGATCGCGAGGAGCAGCAGCAGCAGCAGCACCAGCAGCAGCATCATCAGGAGGAAACGAATGAGGGAGGCGGAGGAGGGAAGGGGAGCGCAAGAGGATAGGGTAGAAGCGACAGTTAAAAGGTTCAGTTCAGTTCAGTTGGGGCGGCATCGACCCAAGAACTAGCACGCTAAGCTGCGCCGCGCTCACATACCGCGACGAGCGACGCGTTGGCCACTCTCACAAGTCAACGCACGACAACACACCCGATCTGGAATACCAGACTCTGATGGGAGACGGAAGAGCCGCAAGTATTTTTTTGCAGTTGCGGTGCACCAACTGTTTATATATAAAGAAAAGGAAATTCTCCCTCCATCAACTGGGCGGCGGCGCCGCCTTGTTGCAGTTGATGGAGTTTTCACGCGTCGACTGGATTGACCCGGAAAGAAAAGCAAATGTGTTCAGAGCAGCCGCGCGGTCAATACGCACGGTTGTTTGTGAGTTTCGACTGACTAATTTGTCTGCTTCCATGCCCATCAACTGTCGAGGGCGCCGACAAAAGGCATGATCCAATAGTTCGGCGAGGACCAGTTGGTTAATCTGATGCCAGTCCATCAACTGGCGTGCCTGCGAGTTGATGTGCTCTGTGTCCATCAACTGGGTGCCAGTTGGTTAATCTGATGCCAGTCCATCAACTGGCGTGCCTGCGAGTTGATGTGCTCTGTGTCCATCAACTGGGTGCTGCGTCTCCTCGCTCGAAGCCTGACCTTACCTCGGCCCAGCCAACGATGAGCGCCCATCAACTGTCGAGGGCGCCGGACCAGTTGGTTAATCCCATGCCAGTCCATCAACTGGCGTGCCTGCGAGTTGATGTGCTCTGTGTCCATCAACTGGCTGCTGCGTCTCCTCGCTCGAAGCCTGGCCTTACCTCGGCTCAGCCAACGATGAGGTAAGGAGTGAGGGCTCAGTCACCAGGCAGGGAGGGTCCATGAGGTGGGGACTGCGGACGAACGCGTTGACAGTAACCCGCGCCCCAGGGCAATCGGCGCGCAAGGCGTCCTGGTTGTTCTCGGGGCAGGGTGATTCAGAGGCAGGTTCATGGACTTGGGCGCACGAACTCAGAGGTTGTTCTCGGGACCAGGCCCAGACCCGAGGAGGAGGAGGAGGAGAAGGAGGAGAAGGAGAAGGAGGAGGAGGAGCAGAAGCAGGAGCAGAAGGAGAAGGAGGAGGAGGAGAAGGAGGAGAAGGAGGAGCAGGAGGAGAAGGAGAAGGAGGAGAAGGAGGAGCAGGAGAAGGAGGAGCAGGAGAAGGAGAAGGAGGAGGAGGAGCAGGAGGAGAAGGAGGAGGAGCAGGAGGAGGAGGAGCAGGAGAAGGAGAAGGAGGAGCAGAAGAAGGAGGAGCAGGAGAAGGAGAAGGAGCAGGAGAAGGAGTAGGGAGGAGGGAGGGGGGAGGGAGCAGGAGGAGGAGGGAGGAGGAGGAGTCAGTTGATGGAGGTCCATCAACTGGCTGCTGCGCCCCCTCGGCCTGCACGAACGGCGGAGACCCAGACCCCACATTCCAGGCCTAGGCCTAGGCCCTGGGGTTTGGGGTCTGGGCCTGGGGGTCTGGGCCATGGGGTCTGGGCTCTGGGCCTGGGGTGTGGGGTCTGGGTCTCCGCCGTTCGTGTAGGCCGAGGCGGCGCAGCAGCCAGTTGATGGACCTCCATCCTTCTCCTCCTCCTCCTCCTCCTTCTCCTTCTCCTCCTCCTTCTCCTCCTCCTTCTCCTTCTTCTCCTCCTCCTCCTCCTCCTCCTCCTCCTCCCCGAGAGAGCCAGGGTGATTCAGACGCAGGTTCATGGACTTGGGCGCACGAACTCAGAGGTTGTTCTCGGGACCAGGCCCAGACCCGAGGAGGAGGAGGAGGAGAAGGAGGAGAAGGAGAAGGAGGAGGAGGAGCAGAAGCAGGAGCAGAAGGAGAAGGAGGAGGAGGAGAAGGAGGAGAAGGAGGAGCAGGAGGAGAAGGAGAAGGAGGAGAAGGAGGAGCAGGAGAAGGAGGAGCAGGAGAAGGAGAAGGAGGAGGAGGAGCAGGAGGAGAAGGAGGAGGAGCAGGAGGAGGAGGAGCAGGAGAAGGAGAAGGAGGAGCAGAAGAAGGAGGAGCAGGAGAAGGAGAAGGAGCAGGAGAAGGAGTAGGGAGGAGGGAGGGGGGAGGGGGCAGGAGGAGGAGGGAGGAGGAGGAGTCAGTTGATGGAGGTCCATCAACTGGCTGCTGCGCCCCCTCGGCCTGCACGAACGGCGGAGACCCAGACCCCACATTCCAGGCCTAGGCCTAGGCCCTGGGGTTTGGGGTCTGGGCCTGGGGGTCTGGGCCATGGGGTCTGGGCTCTGGGCCTGGGGTGTGGGGTCTGGGTCTCCGCCGTTCGTGTAGGCCGAGGCGGCGCAGCAGCCAGTTGATGGACCTCCATCCTTCTCCTCCTCCTCCTCCTCCTTCT